CCGGTGCGTTGCAGACCGCTGTGTGCGGGGCCGCGGCCGTAAGGTGCTCCCTGGAGCTGACCCCGAGCTGGCAGGCACTCTCCACCCTGCCCTCCACCGCGGAGGCTTTTGCCCACACCTCTACACAACAGTCCCCATGATAATCCTCCCTTTTTTCCTCCCTGATTACACCAGTTGTTTGCCCCAGGACACAACAGTTACTCTCCTGAAGGCCACACTGATTACAGCACAGCAGAGGCACTGTAAGAGATGCAACTGGCACAATCCCCTTCGGAACCCAACGTGGCCCTTTTATTCTATTTGCTTTGCATCATTCTTTCACTTAGAAAGCCCAAAGCCAGCCCTGCAGAGGGCACGGGCTGGGCCAACCAGGGCTTGTCCTGATTCATTTGCACTCTCTGCTAACAGGCAGAGTGAAAAGGTTTTTGTTTTCACTCTACAGTTTCCCCAAACAGTTGCTGCAGAGCCTTGCTCTTGCCTGGCCAGCAAGTTCTGCACGTAGTCTGGTGTAGCCGGGCACTGGCCACCATCCCCTCCCGGCTCTAAGCCAGCAAGCGGTGAGACGAGGCATGGAAGCTGTCGCCAGCAGAGGCAGCACCCTGCTGCCCATCCTGCTGGCCTCAGGGCAGCCCCAGGAGCCAGACCCTAAGAGAGCTCCAGCCTCGGGAAGAAAGAAGTGGAGGGAGCTGGCAAAAGGAGAATCAAGGTCTGCGGTTTGTCAGGCAAAAGATTCAAAGACATCCCTCTGCCTACTGCGGTGGGAGGGTGTGTGTTTGCATCCCTGCAGCTCGCCAGCACCTGTTGTGCCTCCTGGAGGGAGATGGCTCCTCTTACCCCCTTCTGTATCTGCTCCCCTAGCCTGGCCCCATTTTCTATCAGCAGAGGAAGGTGTATTAGATCCAACCAGCTACTGATCACTGAAGCTGCTGCCTGTGATTGACCTCTCTGTATCTGTAGGATCCACCTGATGGCCGGGCGGGTTCCCCCAGGCACAGACCGGGCCACAGTAGCAGGTGAGATGGAAACCACCTTCATTGAGAATCTCAGATATGCTTCTGACCTCCTGGCCCAGGTAAGTGGGGAATAGGTCCTGCTCCATGGGTACTTACATATGCTTAGGGTACCAGGGATGGAGAATCCCCCAGGAGCCTGGCATGGGGAAGGAGTGCTCCCTGCTGCAGAGGTGACAGGATGCTCTGCAGGGTGCCATTACTGTGTTACAGGAAGACATGATTGGACTGGTGGAGCCTATTAACAACCGCATCACTGACCCTAGCTACTATCTGAACACCCCACACCAAGGTAAGGCAGACATCTCTCCCCAAAATCTCCTTCAGAGGAGGAGAAGCATCCCTAGTCTTAAAGACAGGAGGTTGCCTCACATGCAGGGAGATGCTGAGGGAACACAGTTGATGAAGAGGATCTCAGGGCTTCACCATGAAGCTTCTAGCTTGGGGGTGATGGTTTCCTCATTTCTTGCACCCTTAGCTGCTGCCATCCTGGAGAAGGTGGGACGACCGAACCTGAAGCTGCAGCTGGTGAGTCAGCATTGAAGATCTCCAGGGTCCAACCTCTACCAGGGAACCTTGCACAGGCCCCCAGGGGAAGCCCAGGGGGTGCAGGCTTGTTACCCCCTCCTGGAGACATGGGGAGGGACAGACACTGTAGCACAGCCATCCTTGACTGCTCCCTACTGAACAGCTGCAGCATCTTCCACTCTCCCACAGGACCTTTTTCACTGCCAGATCATGGATGGGAATTTGTCACGCAACCTGGAGACATACTTCCCACTCATCGGTAAGGCCCTGTACCCAAACTGGCTCTGTGGCTGCGGGGCAGGAGCAGCTTTGAGATGGGTCCCTCCTGCCCCACACTTTGTTCCGGCTGGCTGGGGGTGTGAGGCTGCCCTTGTCTCATGCCTGGAGAAGGCTGCAAGCAGGGCTGAGCAGTTCCTGTTCCCTCCCTAGGTCACATCCAGATTGCACAGGTGCCAGGGCGGCACGAGCCTGACAGCCCTGGAGAGTTGAACTTCCCCTACATCTTTGAGCTCCTGGAGTCCCTCGGCTACACTGGCTACGTGGGGTGCGAGTACGCTCCGAAAGGTGAGTGGGCCCGCAGGTGGTCTGAGTCCCACATCCAAGCACAGACCAGTGGGCAGGTCCTGGGGCCAGGCAGGTCCTGGGCATCGGAGTCCCTGCCCGGGGACAAGAGCCCTGTCCCGAGCAGAAGCCACTCCAGCTTGCCTGGGCATGCCTGTCACTCCAGGAGACACCCTGGAAGGTCTGGGCTGGCTGCGCTCATACTGGGAGAGCCGAGGCCTGCAGCACAGTGGGACCAGCAAGGCAGCAAACTAAAACAAAGAAATCACTGGAATAAAAGTCAAAGCAATTTAAAAGAGAAGCATGTCTGTCTTCTCTAGGACTAGGGGATGGTGGTGGGTGGGATGATTCCTAGAGCAAAGTTAGGAGCACCTGTGTCATATTTCCTTTTCCCAGGCCCTACTGGGCCAGCCCAAGCACTCTGACCTCATCTACTCACACAGTGTCTGCAGCATGTCACATCTGGGGAAGGCCTGGGCAGTGCTGTAGGTGACTAGCAGTACACAGGAGCACCTTCACCTCCGGTGTGCAGGGAGAGGTTTCCAGCCTACCCCCCTGAGGGGAGCATTCGCTCCTTGGAAAGGGCATGAGTTTTCCCAGTCCAGCTCCAGCTGGTGCCTAGAATTCTGATAAGATGGCTCTGGGCTGCAGAAGCCCTGCAGTTCTCAAGGCTGCTACCAGTGCCCAGCACTGGCCCTGCAGCAGGTGGAGAAACTGGAGCAAGCTGCCCCCTCACAGGCTGCCCAAGCAAGGTAAGAGGCTGGGGGCTGCCTGCCCACAGACACTCAGGGCTGTCTGCCCTGCTGCTCCTGCTCTGGATCAAGAGTGACTGCTGCAAACCCAGCCAGTCCCACAGCCAGGGATGCCTCTCTGCCCTTGCAGGAGGCTTTCCACATGCGAGCCTATGGCACCTGAGTGCGAATCTGGTTCAGTTTATTTCACAGATACATCAATGGCTTTAATGTACATCTCCATAAAACCTTCCACTGGTCCAGTTCACCCTCCCTGTCCCATTTGGTGCTCTCCTGATGAAAGCAAAAGGCCCAAAGTGGGCAGCCGCACTGCCCAGAGCCTTCAAGTCCAGGAGTCTTTCTGCCTAAAGCCAGAGCACTGTGCGATGCTGCCTTGTGCAGAAGACGTGCTGAGTGTGTTCCTCCGTCCCTTCCGAGCAGGCAGAACTCACCTGCAAATGCCAAAGCCATGTCCCTGAGAGTTGCTCTGCTTCAGGCGAGCCAGAACAGCCAAGCTCCTCCCCTTGCGTTGCGGTTCAAGGTCATTCTGTATCAAACCCACCAACACCAGCACACTGAGGGCCACACCAGCCAGCCAGCCAACGACGGAGGTGCATATCCCCAGGCTCCTCAGTTCAGTACCTACATGTGCCATGAGCAGCAGTGCCTGCAGTGTTGGAGCACAGGACCCCCCCAGGGGCCTGTTCTTCCCCATCGTCACCCATGGTACAGCCACGCCGAGGGGTCCAGTACACGGGTGCCAGTGCTAGAGCAGGCCTGTCCAGAGGTTGAAGCAGGCAGTGTTGATGACTGACTCCAGGTGGTGATATGTGGACACAAGCTGGGGCAGAGGGCTCTCGCTGTTCTGGGGCTGCACTGGGAACGGCTCCCGAAAAACCACAGTGAGGCTCTGCTGAGAAGGAGGAGCAGGTCAGGGGACAGGATTGAGACAAGCACTGTACAGTCCCTAGCCCAGCTGTGTGGGCACTTTTTTGGCAGTGGCAGGCAGGGGCTGGGAGAAGTCTTTTAGGACTTCTTTAGTGCCAACAGCACTAAGCTAGTGCCTCCTCCTGTGACAGAGCATGTTTCAGCCTCCTCCCAATTTTTCTGGTGCAAGGACTTGCCCACTCACTCTGTCCCAGCCCCCATGCATCTGCAGTTATCCCAACCCCAGCAGCAGCCTCTAGAGAGGAGGGGATCATACTGCCGCCATAGTAATAGGGGCTTCTAGGGAAATTAGAGGGAAATTTCTTCTTCTAAGGCAAAGAGTAGGAGTGAACAAATGGGGAAGGGGAGGAGATTAGACGTAATAACTGCAATCCTAAAAATAAATGCTGGCTGCTCTATTCTCATTAGCGACTGCACCGACAAGGCAGGGCAAGGGCAGAGGGGAGCAGAGAACACAGTTCAGAAGAGAAGGTTACAGGAGCTGAAGCAGAAGGAAAATGTGACTTGGTGCACTCAGCATCATGGAGGAATGACACAGGAACTGGATGTTCTCCAGAACCGAATTGCTGCACATGTAGTAGTCAGGTTCCCTAACAAACTTGTAAAGCCATGAGAACAGCTGCATAACTGCAAAACAAAAAATGCACCACCATCATTTAAGAGGGAAGAAAAAGTGATTTGTGAGCATAACTCCAGCAGCATGCAAGCCTTTAGAGCAGGCTTGAAGAGAAAGAACCATGAGGAAAATTCAGCTTCATGTTACCAAAGTGATGTGCTAACACTAGACTTCTCTTTGATAAGGTAGTATTTCTAGACAAAGGAATCATGGTATATCTTATCTGAGCTTCAGGAAGAATTTGATGTAGTGCCATGTGGGATATTTAGGTAAGCTGAAAAGATAGGAATTAACACAAAAATTGTACGGTGAAGATGGTAGAGCTGAAAGGGGAAGTAGCAGGCTGGAGAGGGGTTACAAATATTCCTTCAGGACAGGTTTTGTGACTCACGTTGCCTAGTACTTTAATGAGTCTGGTACAAAGATGAGGAGCATGCTGATAAAGTTTAAGGCACTAATAGAGAAAGGAATTGGGATAATGCAAAAAAAGCCCTAGAGACTTTTGAGAGGCCACAGGAATGGGATGAATGTTAAGCACAAAATAAAAGGTGAGGAACACAAAGGATTTGATGGGAGTCACTGGGAGAGGTGATGGAGGGTCTGGGTACATCATATCAGTGACCACAAGGTGACACTATGACCAGTAAGACATGACCATGAAAAGGCAAATAACACCCTAGGCTGTACTGGAAACACCAGGCAGGGACAGAAAAGTCTCAGACCAATCGCAGAAGGCTCTGCTGAGACTCCTCAGTAATACTGGGTGTAGTCTTGGACACCTTTATTTAGAAAGGCTGACCTGATCCCTAGAGGGCTCTGAATGACAATGAAGCCACTGGGGAAGGGAGGCTCAAGAGCTCAGCTTGTTTAACACAGCAACATGGAGTTAGCAAAAATTTCACCTTCGGACTGTGGAGGTGAATCTAGTGGACCAGGGAGGAAGTTTCACCTCTGAGCTACCACTGGCACGAAGAGGATAGAAATGGCCACAACAAAAGCTCCAGCACAAAATGGGAAGGGCTCTCCACCATCAGGTGACAGGCGGCACTGAGCAGCCCTCCAGCAGGCACCGCCTCTGACTCCCCTACCTGCTTTTAAGATGGAGTGTGATTTATTTACAAAGGAATCAGTTAAGTTGCAGCCTCTGCAAAAGCCTCACTGTGGACTGGAATGTCTTGTAGATCCCCTGCTCTCGCATGGAGCTGCATTCCCTGTTAATCATCCTGCACCCTGCCTGGGAGCACAGCTGAAAACCAAGTATTTTTTCCCTCAAGTCCAATGAAGGCCAAGGCCCATGCAGGTTTGCTGGGACCCTCACAGTGCAGGTCCCCTTCCTTTCTGCCCAGGTAGAAGCAGACCACAGGACTGGTGACCCTTCCCAACCAGACCCAGTGTGATCTGGCTTTGAGCTGAATACAGGACTCCCTAACCTGGGTAGAGAGAAGGCTGAGAGCATGATCCAAAACCAACCCTACAAAGGAGAAGAGGATCAACTGTTCACTGTTTTCTAATATAAGAACAAAGGGGCATCACATGAAACAAGCAGAAGGACCTTCAAAAACAAGCCAAGGAAGGTAGTTCTTCATCTAGATTGTAATTGCTTCATAGAGCTGCAAGTCAGGGTAAATCATGGATGCCAGAAATTAACCAAACAAAATAAAGCTGTGGAGGGCTATTAAATAAAATCAAAGGTCACTTCTAGCTCAGTAAAGGCCTGAGTCACAGATGTTCTTATGTTGGGACAGTATTTAGGAAAGGTGTTACAAGCTTCTTGCCCTGTTCTTATTCTCCCCATACACCCTTGCCCTTGGCCACTGCTGGATGAATCTAGACAGATCCCTAGCCTGAGCCAATATAGCTGCTCTTGTGTTCCCCAGTTCTTACCGTCTTTCCTGAATGAGAATCGAGAAACACAAGAACGAAGCAATCCGTGAACTTCTGGTTGAGCACGACCTGTGAGGAGAGCCACAACACACGTTGGAAAGGGAACAGTAAACCCCATGACAGGGATACAAACAGCACCCACCCGGGGATGTGCTGGTGTGCAGGATGAGTGCCAGGATAGAGCCGTTAAGGTGCAGGTTTGCCAGGCTCAAAGGTGAGCCCCATGGGGATATACACGGCATGAGGTTCTGGGGGTGCAGAGCGTCCTGCCTGCCAGGGGCAGACAAACAGACACAGCTGTAGCACAGGAGCACACACCTCATGCTGCACTAGTAGCAGAATGGAGAACAACATCGTGATGGCGCCCACGTTGTCCTGACAGCCCATGCCAGGCTCACACTGTGAGAAGCCACAGCAGGCAGGGACCCTGGACAGGGTAGAGCGGCTGCAGGGGGGGGGTGACGGGCTGTGTCTTACCAGATACTGGGTGCCAGTTTCAGCGTTGTGGAAGTGCCGACAGCTCTGGGGAAAGCGGCTCAACAGCACTTTGATGAGACTCTGATACCAGGAGACTGTCATGGTGAGGAAGCATCCCTGCAGGCATGGAAAAGGGCTGATTTCAGCCTCCCTCTAGCCATGGCACCAACAGCCATAATGCCACAGCAGCCTTCAGAACCCAAATCAGACGCATCCCTCACAGCCCGCTGACCTCCGTAGACAGGTCCATGCAGCCTCACCCTTCCCCTGCCAGCTAGGAGCCATGTTCCTGTCTCTGCCTTCCCACCAAGCAGGAAGAGATGTGCCCTGCAGGTCCTTCACCTGGCGCCCCATGCCAGCCCCAGAGCAGAACAGCGGCTGCTGTGCACCATGGCTCCATCCCTGCTGCTCACCAGCTGGGGGTCGACATCAGCAATGGATTTTCCATGCACAGCATCGAGCAGCTCCTCCAGCTCCACCAGCGAGAGCTTGCCCAGCTTCAGCTTGTCAGAAGCCAGAGGCTCCAGAAGGAAGAGGCGCTTCCAGAGGTTGTCCCTACGGCAGTGGCACTTGGCCAGCTGCACCATACTGCTGAGCTGCTTCTGGGCTGAGGCCACCTCGGAGGCCAGCAAGGGGAAGAGC